AAAAAGATATTTGAATTGTTTTTTATCTGACCCGATCAGCATCTGAAAATACTTCAATGCCTCTATTTAAAGTTTTATTTTAAGTAGAAGTCTTGTCCAAGGCTTCATTTTAAGCATCACAAAATTCAATATTCAAGATAGTTCATGAAAAAATTCACCACATTTACAAAAAAAACTTATATTTGCTAGCACGAGAGAGATAAATGAGCTTTCCAATTATTTTATAATAGCTAAAATTATCCAAAAAAAAAAAGAATCCTATTTATGTTCCCATTTTTTGTTGATGGATCTATTAGAAGTGTGAGTTCACTCGCAACCAGGCATCCATGTTTCCTATGATAAATCTAGAACATAATTTAGCTCGCAAAAAGAAATATCATTCATCACATGAGATAGTTCTATGGAAAAAATGGAGCTGCAGACGCTTCACAATAATCTTGCTAATAACCTTCGAAATAACAGAAGTAAGAGATATAGGACGTAAGAGATATTGGATGAAAATACTCCTAATTAGATTTTTGGGTAGATTTGGGGATAAGAACCATGGTGGCAGTAGAAAAATATTTCCCCGCTCTCTCCCCGAATCTCCCCCTTAAAGAAACTTTGGATGGCATTAACCACATCATCTTGGACAATTTTCCAACATTTAACATAAAAATCTGAGGTGAAACCATCGGATCCCGGAGCTTTATTGCAATTAATCTCAGAAAAGATCTGAAGAATATCATCAGCAGTGGGAATCCCACAAAGATCTAAATTTTGGGTGTAGTCCCGAACATCATTTTAGAGATTATGGTCAATGGTACCAAAATTTGAACGGTGCATAAAAAATTTTGAAAGTACTGAACAGCACTTTTCCCCAAATCCCTAGTTCCCGTAATCCAATTGCCAACCCTCATCTTTAATATGAATAATAACATTACTAGCTCTTCTTTGTTTAATGCAAGCATAAAAATATTTTGTATTTCTATCACCTTGTGAGAAATGAGCCTCCCCCGCTTTTGGTTGCAAAAAACCTTCCTCCTGAGCCGAGGCAGCTAAAAGCTCGTTATGGGCATCCTGTAACTGAGAAATAAAATCATTAGAAGATTCGTCAAGATCCTATAGGTGTTGAACCGTAGCCACTCTTGCATGAATGTCACCAAACACCTCCCAATTCCAAACTCTTGAAGCGACAGCAACCCTTTTGTGAAGTTTCTGAAGTCGGTACCACGTATTCCCAACTTCAGAACACTTTCAATTATCCGCAACAAGTCTCAGAAAATCATCATATTTGGACCAAACATTTAAATAATGAAAGTGATAAGTAGAGACTTTTTTAAAAAAATCAAAGGAAAGCAGGAGTGGCTTATGATCAGAGCCCGAACTAGAAAGATGTTGAACCTGAGAAAAGCCATAGGAAGAAAACCAATTTGTATTAGCAAAGCATCTATCAATGCGTTCAAAAACTTTACCACATTTCCATGTATATTTAGAGCCAAGAAAACCCAAATCAGAAAGACCCACATCCACCATAGCATTGCCAAAAGTATTCATCAAATAGAAATCGGGCCTACACCCACCTAATTTCTCATAGTCATAGATATGCAAAATCATATTAAAATCCCCTCCCACCATTCATTTATCGGAGATAATTTTGCCCATGCTAGTAATTTTATTCCAAAGATCATAACGAGCCGTAGTGATAGTGCTTGCGTACACAAAAGTAAGCCATCCAGAAAACTCATCCATAGTAAAGTGTGAACGAACTAAATGTGAACGAACTGAGCATCATCGATAATGATGTCAAGAGTAATATGTTTCTTCCAAAAAACCCAAATCTTATTAGAACAATTGCGAAAAAAGGAAAAACATTTGAATTTGCCCAAAATATGGTGCTGAGGAGAAGTAACCAACGGCTCCAAAATAGAGAAGGCTCCAAAATAGAGAAAATGCCCAAAATAGAGCAAATGCCAATTTTATGGATCCTAGTTAATAGCTTCAATCTACCAAGAGAGTTAGGATCCACAACTCCCCTGATATTCCAAATCAGAATGTTAAATATGGATAAAAGACACACCCTTTCTAGAAGATCTAGTTCGGGCTTTTGTCTAATTTCACTGTCAGAATGATAGTGATCAAGAGTTTCAATATTGTTTCCCAACCTTAGATTAGCCAATTCATAACTCCCTTTTTTCCTCCTCCACCGTGACTTCTGAACTTGCCATTCCTCCTCAAGGAGGTTAGAAACCTCTCCCACATCTAAAGCATTACCAGGTGCATGAACATCCCTTCGTTCCTGTAAGGAACAATCGTTTTCCAAGGATACAACTATTAGGCAAAGCAGAAACAGAGAGATCCCGATTTTCAAGCAAAGGCCGAATCCCATCAATATTAGTAAGAGGGACCAGACCTTCAAGACGCTCCAGTGACCATCTCCATCATTCAAAACACAAGCAGTGACAGACTCATCTGAAACCCTGCCATGCAGGTGAACACCACCTGACAAAACTGTAACCTCCTCCGGCACTACCAAAGACGGAGCAGGAGCCACATTTTGCCCTCCATTCCGCTTCCGTAACTCCGAATGGAGATGAAAACAATGAGTCGAATCATGCCCAAAAATCCTACAATGTCCACAATAGTGAGGTTGTTGTTCTAAAAGCATGTTGTCAATAGCCGTTGTGGGCAGAGCCAATCCAAATCTCGTCAGGAGGGGGCAAAGTGACATCACGTTCAATTAAAATTCTTGCCATAGATGGCCTAGTAAGATTAAAAGTAGGAGCATCAAGCCTTAAAGGTTTGTCAAACATCGCAGCAATAGAGAACAAAATTTCATGATTAAAAAAATGCACTTTCAATCCCGGTAAACGAAGCCAAACGGGAATAATAGGAAGTTCCGCCCTCGAATCAAAATCAACGAACCATTTTAAAACTTTCATAACCACGTCATCAAAACGCATAATGCGTTTAGCAAAAATTCTAGCATAGTCTTCCTCACTCGGCAGTTGTATCAAAATATGTCTAGCATCCAAAGAGCCAACTTTCCAACTACCAACGAGATTCAAAAGTTCGAAATGCTTGCAAATAAACTCAATCTTAGGAATCTCATAGGAGAACTTCCCAACTAAATTTAGTCTACAATAAGACGCAAGTATAGTATTCTCAGAGTCGGACAGAAACAAAGCTAGCTTGCGTGCTTTTTTTCCTGGTTTTTTTATGAAATCATATTCACCACCAATAGCAAGAGATTCATAAAAAGCATTAGGAAAAAGCAAGTTATTTCCCATTCCTTTCGAAGAAGAAGAACCGAGAAGCGCCTCGGAAAAACTCGGAGCCATAGAATGACCGAACACCAGAAATGCTCAAAACGAAACCAAAAAACCAAGTAGAGAAACCAAAATCCACGAAACCAAAGCCAAAGAGAAGCAAAGAGAGGAAGAAAGGAGAGATCTCACCAAGAAATCGCGGATGAGGAAGCTCCATTTCGCCCAGAAAGCCGAACCCTAGCAGAGCTCCGTTTACCCCTTTCAGCCATCGAAGAAAAATAATATATATATATATATATGTAT